AAATAGAGAGGAAGTACAACATATCACTTGAAATATTTTCTAAGGAAAGAACAAATACGATTTCCAAACAGTGTTATACATGTTTGGAAATGTATGCATTGCCTGAAATGCCTATTGTTGTGTGCACTTGTATGTACAACATGTTCCTAATCTTTAATTCCATTTTGGAATGGTAAAATGTTGCATCAATACGGTGAATTGTAGGGATTTGCAGTCATTTGCTACCAAATATAGTATTAGTATGAAATACACTGGAGCCACACCCTTGGACCTGCCACAGGAGCAATGTAATTTACATCTAAACAACATAACATGGGGGATGCAAACTGGGATTGCTTCACCATTCTCATTTTTCAAGCTCTTGATATTCCCAAAGGACGAGCAACATTCTCAACAACCCAGGAACTTCAGCGTTTTTAACATTTGACCATATCTTTAATAACAGTAAAACATAAACAGACAATTTTGGGTTTGGGTTTTTCTGGCTCAATTGAAAGCAGTATAGAACAGTATATACCATGTTTCCTGCTCCATTTTGCTCTCCCGCTGCTCCTGAAGCCACTTTGTCTCTATCAGTACAAATGTAGCATATTTTTATAAATATACATGTTCAAATGGTGTGATTTGGTTGATTTAAAAAAACATTTAGTTTTTGGTTTCATATTTTGGTAAGCACACGGTTGCATATCATGGAGATTGTTGAAAAACGAATGTATGAAAATTGGGTGCAGTCTCAGTTCAGGAATTTCATTTCCAAAAGAAAAATGAATGGCTGATTTAAAAGTTTGCACCAAGATTAAGAATTTACACAAATGATTTCACAGACAGAAAATACAACCTGTCATAGTTTGTGTTCTGTCTGTAAAACAATGAGATATTGGTTTGATGTGAAAAATCTTCAGGAATTACACTTCTTTATAGATGTCTTCAACGTTCTTTTGAGTGGGTCCTTTGAACCAAGTATGACAACAAAGCTATTATTTCTCTTCCCAAACAAAAACTAAATACTAGTTAGCCTTTTCAATAAACTATTTGTTTTACATAAGTTGCTGAAAACAAATATATAAAATTAAATGTTTAAATGCAAAAGAAGGAATAGATTACTAAATTGACTAGTCAATTTACCACTGTGTGGTATTTAGTTGAATACCAAAGGAGATAATTACAGATGCTGTAGTTGCAGCTATGCAAGGAAAAAGCCTGATCTTAATCATTTTCAGATAATGTGTTTACTTCAAGGGTAGTCAGAGAATGTTGCTCGTCCTTTGGGAATATCATCTTGTGGTCGCTATTCAGCTATAGGCAGTAAAATGTGACACTGTTGTGGCAAACTGCCTGAAGTAGCAATGCCAAGAAGCAGTTGTCACAAATGTACTGTGATAGTTTAAGTATTAAAAAGTTATGATCATAAATCAATATGGAGTCATAGATTTAATGTTTTTGTTGTTGTCACTTTTCATACAACTGTTTATTGTCATGCTGACACTGTGTTGGTGGCCCATAGGAAAAAGGTGTTATTCAGTATAGAATCAAACTGAACTTTTAATGGAATCAACATACAGTACATTTTCCGCATTAAATTGATTCAGAAAGTGTGGTAACAATCCAGTTTTGATGACACTGATTTGAATTTGAGCCTGACTCTTAATGCCACATAAAGGAGATGATTTTTGAATTGAAACTATGCCAAATGCTCCAAATAAATCCATCTTTCCCGCAGCCTAGAATAAACAAACATGGCCCACTTGGAGCAGCCTCAAGGTTTTTAATATATTTAGAGTCCATCGCCGTCCCAGCTCTTTAATACATTTAGAAATCAACTGGCGTTCGGCCCCAGCATTTGGAACAAGTTTTTAGTTACATGTGGACATGGCCCTGCTCAGCACTCTATTAAAGCAATTTGGATTTGCATTACTTCCACAGGGGATAAAGCATTTAGGAGGATGTTTACGAGGATTTGTTTGAGTGGGGAAATAGTTGGCAGTGTCAAGGTGGAAATTCTGCATTTTTTAGGTTTTTGACCTTGAGATTAATATATTTATGAACATAGTGGAATACAGCAATATACAGGAAAAGATAATTGAGGCCCAATTAGCTGGTCCCAAAGTAAGAGTAAGAAGATAACCCGATCAATCTTATTTCTCATATTTAGTCGATTTCTTTGCCAAATAGCTGCCTCTTCAATCTGCTCACACAATCTTTACCGCCAGTCCAAGGACTGTTCATTTCACTGTTCACCATTCTCTGTGTAAATGAGTTGAATCTGAAGTATCAGTGGACTTTTGGGTAATGGCACAGTGGTTAAATTTACCATGGCATGGTACTGAATAATTACAACATGGGGCGGTCCGGATTTGAACCCTGGTTGATGTACTGAGTAAAGTGATTTAAGTTGGGATGCAGTGCTATTTGAAGATTGGTTATATTATCCTTGGACTAGGACAATGAAAATCATTTGGAATTTCCACATCAGATTTCTATCTAGCAAACATTTACCATGTGGATGTAGGATATCATGGAACTGCAGTATCGGGCTCAAGTGAAGACTTTCCTCCTCATCCATGTTCAAGAGGAGTCTGTTAGACACCGTCCAGGTTCACACATGAAAAATATTCACTTAGTAAAGAACTTTCCTTCTTCAGATAAAATGGGAAGAAATTGGGAAACAGCAAAATTTAAACAAATTGTTGAATCTACCATTAGATATCCACCATATAGGTGAAACTGTGGGTCCAGTGTTCATTTAATGATGGATTTGTGTTTCACAAGGAATCTGAATTGAGCTCTGAATTGAGTCTGGTATCGTTGCTGCCTGATTGAATTGACTGACATAAGCAATTATTGTATTTGCCCTTTGTTCTGAGCATTCCCACCCCAGATTTGACGTATCAGGCTGCCAGTAATATACTTGCTGAATAGAACTGGCTGAGTTTATAAATTGGTTTAACTCGTGTCACAATTGCTTTCAAATGTATTTTCATATTTCATGTCCACTTGATTTTATTAGGGTTTTTGCTTGTTTTTTTATGTTGGAGTAAGTAGAATGATAAAAGACTGTTGAGATTTAAAGAGGAGGAAAATGTTTCAAGTAGCACGTGTAGGCAGGTATATTTTGTAAATAAGAATTCCTTTAAATTTTCCAGTGTAGGTCAGGGTTGTATGTTAATGTTTTTAAATTTAAAGTCCTGTAATACATTCTGCTTCTTGAACTTTGCTACAGTGATTTTCAGATGAAAACTATTTCCCGTAAATTAATATTTATTTTCCAAATATTGCAATCCTCTCCTCTACTCGTTTCTCCTCTTTGGTATCCCTCACTCCTGCCGTCTGCCCACAGGTTTTCACCATTAGCTCAGAGCACTGGGTGGTTTCGCCTGCAGACATTTCAGTCCCTGCTGTAATGCAGCTGTTTGGTACCCGTCTGCAGGCTAGAATAAGGCAGAAGAACAGAAACAAATTGGCAGGACCATTCCTGCCCTGTGGAGGGGTACATCTTGTCAAAGGATTGCAGAATAGCATTGACGACACCACTTATAGGCTGCAGGAGGAAGCATGGCAGTGGGAGGTACTGGTGGTGGATTCAAAAGAACAAGAAGGATAAAAAAATTCCCAGATGAAAAATTAAATCATGGAGACCATTCTCATCAGTAGCCCAAAGGAATTGGCTTTGTCCCAAGGAGTCCCGCTGGGACTCTGTGCGTGTCTTTCTCTTCCCCACTTGTGGCTGAGAAGAAGAGCAGAATAGAAAAGGGTAACAACAACAACAAAATTACATTTGTATAGTGCCTTTCACGTCGGGAGGACGTCCCAACCCCAGGTTTACAGAATAGTTCTGCACAGTAACCGGATAAAATCTCTTTTCTCCATTCCTTCCTGTTTTTGTAAAATAGTTATATTTTATTGACTTGTTTTGTTCAAGCTGTTCAAACTTCAATTTGTTCCAAAATGCATACTGAAGTGAACTTTACTTAACTGACTTAATGGAAAAGCTTGCTTAGATTCCTCGTGAAGTTAGTGTGATCACAAATCATACTATTTGACATTCTTAATGACATTAAATCAATCTATTTTAGTTATGAATGGTCTATTGAATAAAGCCATGCTTGATGGAGAACAAGGCATTACAAAATTGTAGAGTTGCAGGTTCTGTGCTGAGTTAGCAGATCTTGGCTGAGCGCATCAGTTAGGGTGCAATAAATGGGCTCAGCACCTTTGTGTTAAGGAGCAAGGTTCGGAAAATCAGCCAAAATTCTAGTTCCTGATTGTGATCCGGAGACACCTGCTAAAAGGAGTGTTGTGATCGTGGTCATCAGTTGAGGACAGGTTAAAGCTCAGATAAGATGCCACCTGTGATTGAATAGCCGGCCTAACTCGTTACAAAAGGCCTCAGATGAATAATAGCCACTGTTCTTGCAAAGTTCACATCTGTATTGCATTTGCCAGATCCTTTATCCTCAGATGAAGGAGAAAAAGGATGGAGAAAGAAAATTGAAAGACGAAAACAGGCATTATTTTCAGAAATTAAAAACACTTGAGTAATAAGAGTGTTGTTTGATGTTTATATTCAGAATGTTTAACAGGTTTGTTGATTTGAAATTCTATAATAATAATAGTAATCCTTGCATTTTGACATGGCGCTTTATCACATCATTGAGATGTCTCAAATTTCCTTAAACTCTAGTACAGAACAATAATAATCTTGCATTTGATGTAGCGTCTTTTTACATCTTCGAGATGTTTCAAAGCGCTTCACAGAATATACTGTAAAATGTGGTGACTGTATACTTTATGGGTGAAATGTGGCAGCCAATTTAACTCTATAAGAATGCCTTATAGAATGGAATTATATCAAACTATGGCCGTAATATGTATTCAACTATGTAATGTGGCTGTTCAATTGGAAACATTACAAATTCTGAATAAAACTACACACAAAATCAGAGTAGATTTTTTAAATTATGAAATTGTTCAACAAATAAAATCATTCTTTGATTTTTCAGTGCGAGAAGCTGATACATGATTTGGAAGAAGAAAGACATTTGAGGCTGGAGACTGAGAAACGACTGCGTGAAGTTACGCTGGAATCTGATCATAGTAGATCTCAGATGCGAGTTTTCCAGGCACAGTTTGCCAGGTAGGAATTAGACACAAATAGAGAATCAATTCATTGCACACAGTACTCTGTCATAGGGGTATTTTAGTTGATTTTGTTGCGTCAATAGGTCTATTTATGTTGTCAACAGAAAAATGGGTTGGAACTAAAATCCAGGCACTGTTTGTCTGAGCTGAATTATTTGTGTTGAATCAGAATTGGTTTAACCAGACTTTAGCTTCATCATTGTTCTGGTGTCAATTTGTATGTAAATCTGTATAAATTAGAGTGGGTTTCCATCTGAATATTTTGACAACTTTTTCCATTGGTCCTTAAAAAAAATCACATTTTAAAATTCTTCTGTGTTAATTTACCTCTAATAATAACGCTTTATTTTAGGATTATTATTTAATTTAGAATGCAGAAATATTATTCTGTTTTACATTGGAAACTGTGTTATAAATTTGATTTCCAGTTGAGGCCTTCAAGATGAAATGTTGCTGCTGTTATGATACAAATTTGGTACAGAATGATGTGCTAGTATTGGCATAGATTCAGCACTAAGTTTGTTGTATGTTACTATCAATTCCAAAGTTAACAAATAACAACAAACAACAAATTGCATTTGTGTAGTACCTTTCATGTCGGGAGGACGTCCCAAGGTGCTGCTTAACACACTAAATAGCTTTGAGTGAAAATGCAACTCAGCAAATGGTGTGATATTGGTGCAGCACTGTCCTCACTCCAGTTTAGCAAACGGAAACAAAAAAAATCTCGAAAAATAATCCATATTAAGTTTGTATAAAAAAGTTTACGTACAGCTTTGCTGTCACAATTTCAAAATAAAAGATATTGAGTTGTTAGAGGGGGTGCACTGGGGTGTTACTAGATTCATTTGTGGAGTCCTGTAGCTCAGTGGTTAGAGCACTCACCTCGTAAGCGAGAGAGTTGGGTTCAATTCCCGGCTGGGCAAAACCTTGGGCAAGGTTCTTACTTCACATGCCTGATAATAATCACTCAAGAAAAAAAACAATAATAAATAAATCTACGACTGTTTCGCCCACAAATATTCAGTCGATTTGCTTTACAGTACATTCTCTGAAGCGCTTTGAGATGTCTAGAAGACGTGAAAAGCGCTATATCAAATGCAAGGATTATTATTATTTATTATTATTATTTACAGAACTTCAGGTCTGAACTTTGAACAAAGATAGGTCATCTTTGGCCTTTTCTTTATAAAGGAAGATGGGTGGGATTCACAATTGTGATGGGTTCAGATCAATACAATGCAAATATATATTTTTTCCCAATACGAATGAGAGCAAGTAGGAATTGCAGGAGCAAGATGTGCTTACACCCCACTCCTCTACCTGCATCCTTCACTCACCAGGCAGAACTCTCCTGCATGTACCACATCCCCTCTGTTCCAGCACGTTTTCAGCCACTGCGCCCCGAGACTCTGGAACTTTCTGCATCAATTCCTCTGCCTTTTCCCCCTCCTTGTCCATTTTCAGATCACACCTGAAGACCATCCTCTTCGACCATGTGTACGGTCACCTCCCCTCTCTCCCTGGCTCGGTGTCAAGTTCCGCTACTGTTAAGTGCTCTGAAATGCTACCCCCTCATAAAGGCCACTAAATAAAAGTTGTTGTTGTAATTCGTTTTCTTTGTTTGACTAAGGGATCTGGAGAACAGATGTGAGGAAATGGGATTTAAAGATCTCCTGTGGTCACAGGACTAGTTTCCACCTGTTCCTATTTAAAAGGATGATGGGTATATGGAACAAACAACCAGCACAGCTGGTGGAACAAGGAACTATAAAGGGTTTCAAAGATTTGGAGTTGTGAGACAATGCAATTGATGTCAAGTCATCTATGAGGGAGATGGATCTGTAAATTGTATGGACTAGTGGCCTACTCTTCCCTGTGGTTTTGATTCCCGGGCAGGGCGAAACCTTAGGCAAGTTTCCTTACTCCACACGCCTCTGTACACCTAGCAGTAAGTAGGAACCCGGTTGATGGTCGATTGGTGGATCACTTTTCCAAGGGTAATAATCCTTTCAAAAAAAAATAATAATTTGGTCACTCAATCCACAACTGTTTGTGGGACACTGCTGTGCGCAATTAGCTGCCGAGTTTCGCCCACAAAATGTACTGTAAATTCACTTTACAGTATATTCTGTGAAGTGCTTTGAGACGTCTCGAAGATATTATAAGTTGCTATATCAAATGCAAGGATAATTATATTATTAGATTACAGATACTATGTTTATTACTGGGATGTGCCCAATTTTCCTTTTGGGTTAATATGGGTGCATATTCAAATGGCATTAAGTTTGTGCAGCTAATGAGTGGTAGGTCAATGACAGTGATGCTCAATATTTCTTCAGGATGAAAAGCATCACTGTGCACAGAGGGCATGAACATAAGGTGAATCATTCATACTTGCATGCACTTCATGGTCCTGGTTTCAAAGGAAACGGGACCATTGCCACTTTGTATGAATATAAAGCTTGCCATCTGAATGAGGTGGCGTTTACTAAACTTGAATCAAAGTAATGCTCCGATGTTTCTCAAGTATAACAGCATTAACATTTTTATATATTCATTTTAAAAAAAACATCTTGTTTAGCCCTAAATTTAGTTCTGCCGTTTCCCTCAGTGAATATTGATACTTGATCAATCATCAGTCTGTGGGACTTCAAATTTTGGGACGATATTTTATCATGAAACAATATTGATCTATATAGCTGTAGGATTAATATTATTTCATGACAAAATATCGTCCCACAATTTGAAGTCCCAAGCATGTTTTCAAGCATATGTACATTAAGCAGTGAAGGACATTTATTTTCTCCTACCTTATCTTCGTGTTGCAGTATAATTGGGCATTTTGTTGTGTTTCCTTGTACCTGAAATCACTTCAAGCTGATATACTGTGCTGGATGCTCAGCTTTTTTTTGTAATTGTTTAGGCTGAAGGCATGAATTGCAAAGTGCATTCTGAGCCCGAATTGATTTGAATTGGATCATAATTTGACTGTTGAATATGGCAAAAATCCAAATATTTACCCAATTTGGGTTTATTCAAGAAACAAGTCATTCCACATGCACGGCAGGACCAGTTTGCATTCGCAATGGCTCATGTTTGATCCCCCTTTTTGTTATTTGTTTCACAATACATATGTTTGTCTCTAAGCTTAGCCAGACGGCAGTGACGGATAGACTTTATTTGCCTGCAGTTTGTGTTCCTCATTCAGTTCAATTCATAGTGATCTAGAGGTCTAAATATTTGTGGAACCTAATTTTGTGGTTGTCTCAAAGCGAATCTGACCCTGCTGTCTAATTTCTTGGCAAGGGTATTTGGCCTTGGTGTCTGACTGTCTGGATGCCTAGGGAGGTGTTCTCCCCTTGTGCTGGAGGAAATAATTTTTTTCTGTCTCTTGTGATTCACATTTAGGAAATCCAAATTGTGGCGTGAGGAAATGCAGTCTGATATTACAGGTCTGAATTAATGAGCCTGTTGTAAACTATATCTAATCACTCATTCTTTAGCTTTCCCCGGGAAGACCTTAAACTACTGTATCTGCTGCTGGGAAACACCCTCAAGCCTTTTTAGAATTATCACTGTTGCAATTGTAGAATATCATCCATCATGAGGATGGGAGGTTGACAAATGAGATGTGTTTTGATCCTTATTGAATTACATTAGCAATTTTCACTGCACTTGCATTTTGGCTTTGTGTTGGCTATATAGAACACTGCATTATTCATCATTGGCCATATAGAAATAAAATGCACACACACCTGTAGGGGTTAAAGTTTCGCTTCTGCCATCCCCCCACCATCAACTTTTGACTTGCTGTCAGCCTGGAGAGTAATCCTTACTGCTGTTTTTCTCTATTCTTATTTGCAGTCGTATGTTCTTGAGTATAGTGCAGAGAAATATTAATGGCCAGTGTCCACCAGAAGAGAAACTCATTAATCTATCTGATGCCCAGAGTTTGTGTTTGCTTTATTTTTCATTCTATTCAGCATTTAAATTCAGTAAGTCTGTGGGGTGTATCTGCATTGGTATACTTAATGTTTCTAAGAGTCAGGATTAACTTGAGATGGGGAGAGGGAAGAGTTAAGAACCAGCTAGATTTTGGAATGATAATGTAGTGTTACGTTTAAGGCCGTTGCTGTTAATAACTGAGTATTTAAAATGTTTATAAGTGAACCATGTGAAAATTCGCAACCAAATCCATGCAAATAAATAACTGCGCTGAAATAACCTTGTCTGTAATTAAGCTGTTTAATTCTGCAATACATTGTTTTAGGATTAAGGTACCAATTAGGTCATTACTCCAAATTGATCTGCTTACAATTAAATAAAATGGAAAGTGTGATAAAATGTTGAAATATGGTTTAAAAAGCCTACATGTGAGGCTTTTTTATCCTCTTTACCACTGTGTCTGGAAGTTTTGAATCATTTAGTGAATTTAATGCAAGAACATTTTAAACTGAGAGGATGAAAGGCAGGCAGACTAGCAACAATGTCTTCACTGCTGCAGCCATTTGTTTTCTTCTCTTGTGTCCATGAAATTGCCCTGCAGTATAAATGGAGCCGTTTCACAGAGGAGGTTGTCCCTCTGACAGCTGAGTCCCAGATCCTACTTCACTTCGTGATCTGAGTATAAAAAAGTGTTTTTAAAAAAAACCCTGCAATACCTTAATTTTCTGCTAGTAGATGCATCAAACGTGGAACGTAAATGCAATATTGTAGATGCTGATTGTTACAAGACATCATAAAAACATAGAATATTAAAAGCATGGAAATAGGTCATTGGTATTTGCGCTGGTGCTCCCTCACTGGAACAATCTATTCTAACCCTATTCCTGCTGCTCTTTTCCTTTGACCTTTAATACTTTACATCAAGTCTTTAACCAGTTCCCATTTAAACATTTGTTGAAGCCAAATTATGCACTTGGCTTCAACAAATATTTCAGATAGGGCATTCCACATTCTATCTACATTCTACACAAAAAAATGTTATCTAAG